TCATAAAATAAATTATAGTTTTAACCCTTAAGCAGCATATATTGGAAATAACAATTCAGTGGAGGGCAAGTAAAAGGCAGAAACTAAAGGGACAGTTTCAACACAATACACATCTCCATTTACATGCTTATTCAGTATGGTAACAATATAAATTCTGTATGAGTAGCTAAATTAATAGGGGGTGCAAAACTGGTTCCAAGGGATTCAACCCCACATAGCTTGAAGTTCAAATGTATTTTGTACAAATAAGCAAGTTTTGTTTCAAGGGATTACAGTCCAAAAATGAGTGCAAAACTGTACAGGACTTGCAGAAAACAAACCCTAACAGCTGAACTACTGAAAGCACTCTCCCTCTCCTTTTCAAAATATTGTCCTCCAAAGCAACTGAACAGAACAATAAAATAAAGATATGATGAGAAACAGTTCTACTTTACTTCAGCACCCAAAGACTAGGCAGCCCAACCACCCCAAAAGGGTCTTTCTACAATTAGTAAGCTTGAAGCAATTGTGACCATATAATGTGAATAGCTTTGATAAATATGAAAGACAGGTAATTCAAAAAGCGGTGCAGATCACTCAAAAAAATGTCAAAACTCAACTTCACAGGCAAAATAGGAAAATATAATTAACCATTTGACTTGGACAAAGAAAACATTTAATGAATCAGATATATGCACGACCCATGCACCATAGCTAAGAACATCATGTCGAGAAAAGACAGGTGTTAATCAGTTACCTCCAGAGCCTGTGAAGAGTGGTCGTCCAAAAGACAGAATACTAGGCATTCGAGCAACGTTCTACAGGAGATCCCAAATGTAGCACCAAAATCATCCACCAGATACCTCCATTCTGAATCTGGTCTGGTCCAATGCCGATCAAATATGTAGTATAAGAACTAAAGAATGTCAAGGAAACCGAAAAAGTAGCATGTTTCAATGTTTGTGAGTAGCATTGTAATGTTGAATTCACTATCAGATAACAAAAAAAGGATACAATTGCTTGCTTTGCAATCACCATGTCAGATCCTCCGTGAAGAAACAGTACATCAACTGCCTCACGCAAGTTTTTAAATGGGTAACTATTGACACTAAACTGATCAATTGTACAAGAGAACTCAGATGCTGATTGTTCATTCTGCAAACAGGTGATTTCCGCTCCTTCCTCATTATCCCTATAACTTAGTTGACACCCAAGGTTTTGTAGTGCCTGCTCGATGAAAAGTATACCCTGGTTGACTTCGTTGTGACCTGATGATTTATCAGAGAATTCAGGCCATTGTCGTTCTTCTGCAGACTTTTTCCTGTTAACCACATCAGCGCTCCAAGTAGCAAAACTAGCATGGCGTGAGCAAACTTTCTCAAGAAATTCATGCCTGGTGCACCATATCATGGCTTCCAAATGCTGTAGGAAAAACTCCAAAATTAACACTTCAGGAAGAAATAATGATGGTGTAAGACATCTGATTACTTTTCTTCTAAAGCATTTCAGTGAAAAACAAGTTATGGTCAACATAAATGAACAAGATAGAGAAACAAAAAGGGAAAGACAAGATAAAGAGGGATAAACGTAGTTGTAGTTGTCCATATTCCAGTCTAACTTGAGCTATGTATCCAAATCAATTCAAATAACTCCATGAGTAGAAAGTAAGCTGCTGAATGAATCTACGGCCCAGTTCTTTTGCCAGAATCTGGGGATTCTCCCAGAATCCGACCCCTACCCAGCTTCTCCCAGAATCCTATCTAGTTAGGGTCTAACTAGATAGGATTGTAACACAAATGGGGCTCAAAGATTCTGGATTGTAAAACAAATGGGGCTCAAAGATTTTGGGAGAAGCTGGGTAGGGGTCGGATTCTGGCAAAAGAACTGGGCCTACACCTCCTAGCATAATCATCTTATAGCAAAATCCAACTACCATGCTTAGCAGAACTTAAAAGCCCTAATAGCCATGGATTTCAGAATTAAGACCTGCTTTGCCTTCATTGTGTTCTCGATGAGACGATGCAGGTCATTTACATGAACTGCCTCTCTGAAAGATGCGATCATAGCTTCAACAACAGTGGATATCCCTGACAGCTGCACTGCAAACTTTTGCATCTGGGATAACTTAGACTTCATCGTCTCTAGTCCAGATCTATCTAAAGACATGGTTAAGGTGTTATTAACAATATAACCTTGCCTCTCCCTCAACATGCATGGCTGTGCTTGAGTGAAGAGATGAAAGGCTAGTAAAAATATATATAAATTATGTAACTGGAACTAGAATTAGTTAAACATTGGTGGATACAAATTGTGCCTATCTCTGATATGAGTGACTTAACAGCCCTCTTGCACCAGTCCTTGATGACCACCTCGTCCAAAAGAAAAGCCAGAAGTGGATCACTTGACACAGCATTCTCATCCAAACAAACATCTGTTATATCTGATCTAAATGTCAAGGTAACAGAAGGAAAAAAAGAGGACACTATGTAAACAATTAAGATGAAACTGTGTCTATCAGCCTAAAGCAAAAGTAACCTTCTAAAGAGGATACAGTGGCAAATCAGGGAAACTAGATTATTCTGAAGCGCAACATCAAACAAGGAATGCAACCGCTGGACGTCCATGTTAACAGGATCACCATGGCCTTCCTTTTCCTGAAACCTTTCATCATGCTGCTTAGAGATAAGGCCGACCTCCAAGCACTTGTGGTAAAGGCGGAGCCGCACTCTTTTTCCATTATCAGGTATTGGACTTCTGCAAATTGGGCAGACATCACATCTCTGGCTACACTCGGCACATAACGAGGCATGCCCACATGAGTTAAGCACATGCTGCACATAGCGGCCGCAGCTACTCAAGTCCCTAGTTGCACGGCAGTGCTCGATTCTAGCCTCCTTGCTCAGCTCAATGAGATCAATGGACGCCAATTGCTCCAAAGCATTCTGCCAACATAAATTTAATTTTTCAGCAACTAGGCACAACATTTTACCACACAGGAATGTACTTCTATTAAATAAATCCTATGTGCTGAGCTCGTTTAAAAGACAACCATATAAATAAGTAAAACTTGGTATTTGTAGCCATTTAATTAATTGGCACCATACAAATTACTAGATGAGCATTATGAAAACATAAGAAACAGAAATAAAATGTTGAAGTCACATGCGCACCCAAACAGTTAAAGCACCTAGCAGCTTGACATGCGAATTGGATCATGTGCGATTATGTATCCGCAACAAATAAAAACTATCCCTTCAACTGAAAGACACTCACGGCGACTCAAACAAGTCATTCACTTGGTAACAACTAGTCATGCAGAAATTAAGCTTAGCAGATTGTGTAGCTATGACGTTAGATAACCATGTGAATGCTACAAGGGATGTGCTCTGCACTGCTAGCAATATATTCATATGTTTACAGCTGACTCCGTACCGAATCGGCCCATTTCAAGTGTTACCCTCTTGTACTACTAACTGGTAACTACATTTACCAACCAAGGACGATGACAACATGCTTGGGCGGTGACCACAACCTTTTACTGTTGACCAATCCAGCGCCCTGGCAGATGAGCCGAACCGAAACCGACATCTGCAGACGGTAGCTATTCTACCATGGGGCAGGGTTCAGATACGGGCGCTAACGGCTGGCTCGAAGCTGTAGGTGACCAAATTCCACGAGCGATGGGGGGTTGCTACAGAAGCACGGACCTGGACGGCGTCGCTACCGTACTTGGGAGGGTGCCTCGGCGACGAAGGGAGAGCCTCCATCCTCAAACCCTCTCCAGCACCCACGGCTTGCTACCGCATCAACCGTGGCTCCGGGCGGCGCGGCTTGCGGGGGAGCGGGTGGGAGCCCCGGCGAGGGAGATGGTGGAGCCGGGAAGGGAGAGGCGCGGCGGCGGTGCGGCCGGTCCGGGGGGAGGCGGCTGGCAACAGTGGCGGAGCTAAGCAATCTGTCAAAGGCGAGCTAGGGCACGGAGTCGCCGTCTCGCGGTCTCGACCAGACGAACAGGCATTTCGCGAGCAACTGGATCGGCTCCTGCGCTCCAGCCCGATCAGGCCCGCGGGATGCCCTCGTCGCCCCTGGCCTGCTTGCTGTTTCTTTTCTTTTTGAGGGAGCTGGCCGGCCCAAGCGATAGGGAGCGGCCTAGCTGGCCCATTTCATTTTCCCGAGACCTGCTCGATCATTTGCCCTACGTATATCCACGAAAAAAAAAAGAAATTGCCCTACCTTCTATCACTGGGAGGTGGACCCGAGCCTTTTTTCATTAAAAAAAGGTAGACCCCAGCCGGTCAGAGCGGTGGCAGAGAAGACGCCATGACACACACCGACCGAACCCGACAAAGTATCCTATTGAAAGTTTGAAATTCAGTTTCAAGAGAGCTAATCCAAACCGGAGCTAGAAAGGAAGCGAAGCTTGGCGTGAACCTAGGGAAGCACAAAGGTGATTCAAACGGATTGCCGTAACTAAAAGTAGTGGGACTAAAACTTGCTAACCTCATCCATGTTTGGATCCAAATACTAATAAAGAGACTAAAATCAAATTAATGAGCATTTATTATCTTCTAAACCCTTCAATCCAAAACTCGCTTGTGTCAAAGGAGAGGAGTTAAATAAGGACAAAGAGGACTAATACACATTTTAGTAGAGGTACCCTGACTAAAACATTTTAGTCTCAAGACTAGTTTTAGCCTCTTTTTAGTCAGGGGTGCTTGGAACTTTAGCATCTTGAAGAGACTATTTTTAGTCAGACTAAAATGAATCCCTTGGATCCAAGCACCCTCCAAGTACAGAAATGTTTAAACATTGGGCTAACCGTACATGATAGGAAGGCGATATATTCAAAATGTAGCAATTAATGAGCATTCAGCAAAAGTTGGCCAAACAATCTTCAACATCGTCAATCAAATGGTTCCAAATTAATTTCCTTTCACAAGGAACGCACTTAAGTAACACAAGCTTACACACAGAATGGTTTCAGCAGTAGTCATCCCTGCTTTACTGCCCAGGAGCAAGGGCAATCAACTACAAGAAATACATGTTTATTTTTCACAAGTATCCGTAAATCATGGGCGTTTTCCCCGTCTGCTGTTTTTACTTGTACAATAAGGTTTACTTGTCCTCTGGTGCAGGTGTGGGTTCAGGTGCAGCAACAGTAGTAGCGAAATTACTGAGGCCCAACTTAAACATGTCGAGATTCAATCCGTTGTTTACTAGAACACTTGTAACTCCCATTTTCGATACCTGAAAGCAAGGCGTACATAAATTAGTTAATCATTTGTAAAAAAACTATTTACACCTGCATAATAATCACAGACTGGAATATCACACCGAAGGACCATTAGCTAGAACCAAACAATAAAAGGAGCATAAAAATCTGGCGCAGGACTAAGATACAAAGGTTCAAATCAAGGAACCGGTCTGACTGAATGAAAACATTGTTCAAGGAAAACCAGCCACAGTAAGATAGGGAGCTTCCAGAAGATGAGTGTGGGAGAGATGTCTCCCTTGGAAGAAAGAACCAACACAGTTTCGGCTTAAATGCCTATGTAATCTTAAAGCTAGATCACATGACTTCTTTTGAAGCATACCTCCCACTAGAGGCCCCATATAAACTGAAAATTTGAAAAACAGCAGTTGACCCTTGGGGCATTTTTTTTTGGCGAAAGTATTCTTGTATTACTCAGAAACTCAGATTGGGGCATGCAGTTACAAGATGAAACCATAATAATCTATTTTACCAAACAAGCTTCAGCTAGACTGTGCCTGAAAACAACGAGAAAAACTGATAAAGGTTACTGAAAATATTTATTCTACAAACTAAGGTTGTGTTCGGCATTGAGATGGATTCTCACAATCCTGTTTGTCCCACCCACTCTTCCCTATTTTAGTGTTTGTATATATTTGTATGACCCACTTCACTTTTGTGGCTAATTTTCCAAAGTAAATTATAAAATAAGCACGACAAAACACAGTTCAGCAACCACAGCTGAGCCTAAGAGCAATGGTAAGACAAAACCACAATAACCTAGCCTCTGAAACCAGACAGCATAAGAAGAACTTTGAACCTTGTAGCAAATATTAAATCAACAGACTAAGAGCCAACAATATATATGCACCACAAATTTGATGCAAAACCTGGCAAGTTGAATAAAACTCCACTGGAGACCACATACTGAATATTCTGTATTAAGACGTTCAACATTTTTCGATAGTACTTGTGGATAAAGATGACTGCACTAAGAATTAGGACATTACCGATTGAATATTCCTGTCCTCGTCGTCAAAGAACAGCATGGACTTGTACGGAACCCCAGTTTTTCTGTGGATCTTTTGGAAATGCTCCGTCTTGTGAGTCCAGCTGGAGAATATTTCCTTCATACAGACCAAGAGTCCAAGAGTAAGCAATACGTCCAGTTTTTGTTACAAAAATGTGCACATGCTTAACTAGGATATATGAGTTGAAGACAGAGGTGTATACCATGCATTGTCATAGATGATCACAC